GATGTTACAAACAAATGACTCCACTTTTTTCAAGTCATACATGTGTCGAACTATTGGATCAGGGTCGTTTGATTCTAGCAAATTACTCAAGATCATATCCGATGAAACCGAGCTTTGTTTTGGTTCCAGAAGGTTAAGTATACATAGTCTTAATTTTTAATTTTAGAGGAGTATTCTTCTACCTAACACAAGAGTTTACCAAAGATATTAACAAAACGCATTGTGTTTCTGAGAGTGGTTTCAGTCTTTCTCTCCTTTATTTCTGCTTATTCATCCATTTCCCGTTAATCTAAAGCGATATATCGAGACTGCTTGAAAAGGTACTGGTTTTGTATGGTTTTTCATGTTCCAGTTATATATGGCTCATTCAGCAAATGTATTTACCATGTTGACGCTTTTCTTGCTGCTCGTACTCAAATCACAAATGCGACTATCATCAACTTCCTTACTGGCCAACGCTAGGAGGCCCATCGCCTGCTGAATCAAACGTATCTTACTTAAACAGCAAAACATACAAACCTATTTGGAGTTTAGCTTTGAGCATCGTTTATATGAGAAGGGTTTCAAATGGGTACACATCTTTCCAGAAAGAAACAGTTTGGTTGTCTGTATTTGTAAGTACAAGAAACAGTTATAAGCAGATTTAAGAATTCAAACAACTGACAAAATCAGAAGATGTTTAGTAGTAAGGAAATTAACTGAAAAGAAGTACTACTAAACGAATTTAACGTAAATTGCTACCTATAAACAAAATAATTTTAATTAAATTATACTAAACACGTCTTTAATGTATATACATAAAACCGAAGTTAATTTGAAAGCACTAAAGTTGCTGTTCTTCTTTAAAATGCGTGATCGTTAAGGTCTGGGAGACTGAATTATATGGCAGTTCGGAGCTATTATTTATACTTAGGAAGGTGAGATGTGAATTATTGGATAATATATAGGGATTATGACTACCATCCTATCTTTGTATTCACAAGTGATTATTTACACTCCTAACTCTTCCTTGCCTGAATACATACTCATTATTATTTTCCATATCCTTTGTTCGATTGTTTTTCATCACTGTCACTCAAATCAAATTTCTTCTAAGATTTTAACCTGCTTCCTACTCTGAAATACTGATTTAAGGTTTTATGTTTTATTATTCTTTTTATAACTAATACACATTATAAATGTTCACATTTTGCTTATTGCGTTTATTGACAAAATCTATTTGGTTGTGATTGTTGATTTTTGTAGCTGCCTTTATTCATTTAATCTTTCCATATGTGTGTTACTGTTTTTTAAAGAAAAGCCTGATAGGCATGTAACTTTTAACAACATTGTTCGTTTAGATATTTTGTTCTAATTTCCAAATTTGTCTTCTCAGGATATGCAGTTGTTAGAAATCGAAACTGAAACCAATGTAACAATTGTTGACAACGGGAACATAACATTTACACATTATTGTTTTACAACAAACATTTCATGTGCATGTAAAAAAAATTACAAAATTATTTCGAATTATTTATTAAATTTACAAAAAACAAAAACAGATAAAGCAATTAATTTTAAGGAATCATAAAGATTTTGACTAATTTAAAATCTTCTTTTTCACCTAAAAATTAAAAAAAATTGTGCGCGAAAATTAAAAAAAGATGACTAGTAATGAGTAAGTTATTTTCTGTCAAATGAACACATATGATTTCATGGCAGGAAAGAACGCTAAATATTTTATTTGTTTTAAACAGGTCGCTGACAGACTTTGTAAGCAGTGTCAAATATCTGATTGTTCGTGGTATATATTTTATTAACTGGATCAGATCGCTATAAAGTCATCATGTAGTGTTTCTTACTTACAACGAAGCTTATAAGAAATACTCAGTGGAAACGTGGCAGAATGTCGCTCTGAATTTACGGACGAAGCAAAGAGTGTTGGATCTGGGAATATGGCACCATTAGAGTGTTTGGAAGAATATAAGACCTGTGGAAGGTGGCCAAGAATACCCTTGTTTTGTAAATGTGTGTTTTATGACAAAGTGTACACATTTTGACTTGTATAAGTGTCTCATTTACCTTTTATTAGTGTATTCATTCGTCACTGAGACGAAATGGATATTGTTGTGTATAAATTTCAAAAATGGTGACATTTTTAGGCTTATCGGAAGATACCTTTTCATTTTTAATGAATTTAAATCACGATTGGAGATTCTGTGTTGGACAAAACGACAAACATGTTCTGATTCTATCACACTGTAAAGGTCAACCGAAAATTGGGATTACATGAAACTTGATCATTGATATTATTTCTATCAAACATGGTGTTACAACTGAAATTGCTAGTGTAAAGTCAAATATTGACGAGGTACAAATAAGTATACATATCTTCTGGTCGCACTCTAAGCATGAAAGTCAATGATTACCCAAATCAGTCAAAGGGCGAGATTCAAATTAATAACTGTGTCCAGAGATTGAACATTTGAACTACTAAACCGTAACTGTTCCGGGTACTCAGCTCTTGATTACTGTATATTTGTCATTTTCGATTAAATGTTTGATTTTATATCATTCAAGCCATTGTCAAAAAAGATATAGGAATTCATTATTCATATTTTAGCTATGTAAAATTCGATACTTTATGTTATCAACAAATGCTTGAATTGAATTTGAATTTTTCGCTTTAATCTACTCACTACTTATTATATAAATATTGTAAACATGTACAAAAAACAGATGGCTTACGCATTAAATTATCTTATCTATTTTGGCGAGCACATATGGATGGTCTGAAAATAATATAAGAAAATTTTAAAAAGTCGTAAAAATATACATTCTGTATTTGATGATTGATTTTAGTTGACTGTAGATCACATCACAAGTTAACGACTAAGTGATACACATGAAGTCAGCAGACCAGCTCTACACAAAAGATATTCATAGTTCAACATTAGAATGAATATTTTATTGTTATACTTGTGTATTATGGGGTTGTGAAGATTGCTGAATAGCTTATCGAAATCATGAGTCGATCAATGTTAGACTTGGAAGGACTGGACGGCCGTTTATTCCTGATATAGGACTTATCAGTAGTGCTCATCCACGTCTCCTACACAAACGTATTAGTATATAATTGTTATTTATTCTGTTTGACACTCTAAAGTTCTAAACAAAACCTGAGTTGAAGTAAACAAATGAAATTTTTCTAAATCTATATAATAGGAGTTTTCTTTTTTCTGCTAGTTTGTTTTATTAACCTATCTGTACAGTATAATACAAAACTGTTATATAATCATAAAATATTTTTATTAGGTTGATTATCTCTAATGTGTAACACAGAATTGTATATTGCAATTACTTGTTGTTATGTTAAGCTGTGGGGAACTAAAAATTATGAGACACTAAATAGTTGTAAGTTCTGACAATCATGTTTCTTTTGCTCCTGTTTCGTCATCGAACAATTCTGCTTTCTGTGAAAGTATACTTAAAAAGTCCAACTAAACAGAGTGATGTTTTTATTGTACTTGTACATGTATTCAACAGATATTAGAATCTTATCTATTCCCTGTACATGTGTTGTTATCAATCGTTTGTTAAGTAAGACAGTAAATACTTATCAGTAAAATATCACATTACTTCATACTGAAATACTGATATTATAATTCACAGTTTACTAGAAGTAATGATCATACTGTAGCTGATAAGTAGCAAATATCACAACACCTTCACCAGGCTATTGTGACCTAATATAATGTATGCAATCAACCAAACAGGTTTTTATTTAAGCTGGATCGCTCGAATATAAAGATATATATATAATTAGTAAGAAAATCGTTTATAAAAACCACAGTTGAATTTTCGGCTTCATCTTTAATAACTATTTCTCAATAGATATAAATTGCACTGAAAACATACATTGATTACAATCTCTTTGAAAGTGGATAAGATAGTTTTCTGTCAACATCAATTTACTGATATTTATGTATTATCAAGTAAAAGTGTGCAATGTTTTCTTATACAGTCGTATTATTTTTGTATTAAACTACTTACTGAACAAGCCGAATCTGGATCCATACTAGTAATCATCTCAACGTATTTTTCAATGAAGATTTCACTGAGAAATGAGCACTGTAATTCAATTAAAAGGTACGAAAAAAGAATAATGATTTGATTAATTTACCATATTATTTAGTTACTGATGAAGCTTTTGCTTCAACCAATAATTTGGTATGAACAAGCCTTAATCCCCGAAATAACAATAATGGCATGACAGATCGCTTAAAGTCTAATGATATCGTGTCTTAGACTAGTCTTTTATACTTATAAGTAATTTAAAATGAAGTTTTGATATAAGTAAAATATTAAAAACTATGGATATGCTGTCCTAGAGAGTAGTTTTTCTGTGATGAGTAATATAATGGTGTTTCATTGCTGTTTTTTATCATTAGTGTCAGCTTAAAATGAAAATGGTAATAATCGTTAAACAAGTACGAGATAAATCTTATTGAGATAAGTAAAATGATCCAATAAATTGATGATAGTTTTATGTGTCATTTGTTTACAGTTGAAAAAAATAGAATCACGGTAATATGTATCATATTATATCTTCTCGTGGTTAGAAATCTCGTTAAAATAGCAGTCAATCCAATAATCGAGTTGTTCTGTCAAAGCACAATCAAAAATTAAGCGAGTTGTTTTGAATAAGTTAACAGAGATCAAAATAAGAGCTAGTTTAGTCGTCATCGATCAAATAAAAAGTGTAGATTGTTGTATAGAAAGTTTCAAAGAGTCAACTACACAATCAACTGTTTAAAGTTGGACAAAAAAATGAATATGAAACAAAGTTCAAAGTAGTGGTATTAAAAAACTTCATTATTGACTAGATGATCTATTCTGTAACAACCTTGATCATGGTTTATTCATAGTGATATGTATGTCGTGTATAAAAAAATATTCCTTGAAATACATCTAACAGTAAATATTAATTACATTATATCTAGATGAAATAAAACTAAAAATCACAAGGTAATGCATATAATTTTTACTTGGGTTTGAAAAGTTCCAGTTAATGAACAAAGTTTAGTTAAAGCTCCATGTAAAATTGGTTTTATTTCTTCAGATTTAGAGAGAGTTTTCAAAAACGATACAACCGTTTCACATGTTGAACATACTAAAATAAATGCAAAATCATATATATACATATATATATAAACTTTGACAATTATTTAAAGATATTAACATTATTTATTCAATGATGTAGTTTGTAAAAGAATAATTAACAGTGGTGATTTTGGATGAGGTACAAGAAAAATCAATCAAGCTATCGTGACACAACTGTATTTTTAGAATTTTAGTTTTTGTAGAGACATTGTTAGATAATCAATGTTTGCTAATTTTTTAAAATTCTGCTGGTGATAGTTTTCTACTGCATTTTAATCAAGGAGAAAAAAACTAGTACATTCTAATCGACTATACAAATTTATTATGAACTTACAAAACGTGGAATTATTCATTTGAAATGCTCCTGATGTTGGCTGACACCAGCTTAACTTCTGTAAAAAAAACAAATGCTTTGAACTTATTTTTCACCAAGTAAAGTAAGTATTTTAAAACACAGAGAAAAAACAATATGATTCAACGTTAGTAGATAAAATGAACAGTAATTAGATTTTTTAAAGTTAATTTCTAAGACTTACTGCATTCAAACGATTGGCTTCAATGAATTCAATCAAATTTTGTAGGAACATTTGAGTTTCACTAGTTAGCACGCGTTTGCACTTGAAAAAAAGTTCAATATTATCAGAAACATAGATAAAATGTTTATTACACATTTAATCGTAGTAAGCGTTGCCATCCCAGTTTTTGAGTTAACTAATATTTTATATTATGTTAAATGAAGACAGTAGTAAATAATTACGAAGAAATCAGGAAATAAAATAAATTAACATCATTTTTACTGCACTATTGTTCCAGTATTATATAATTTATAGAGCGAATTAATTGTATGAACATTATCAATAGATGGTAGCACTCATAACGGCTTTGTTATGAATATAATTCTGAAGTTAGCATTCGTTCAGTGAGCCATTAAATTTTTGAAACTCTTTTATATAATATTTTGACTCTTCATAAAAATAGATCGAGAAATAATGCTGTATATAATTTACTTCACCTGAATATGCACAAATGTTATTTTTTCAATTAGAGTTATGGAGATTGGTGTTTCTGTAAATTGAAATCATCAATCAGTCATTGTTAGATCATTATTAGAAACCTTGAAGCATTTGACAACCGTTTTGTACTGGTATGGATACGGGTGTAGGTAGTAACTGCCGAAGACAAATAGGTGAGGTCGAGCAAAATCCCTAATTTGGTCAGAGTTAGAAAATAACACTGCGCTGCGGTTCAAATGGTAGGCGTTTGACTTGAAATTGATATGAATGATTAAGTAGGACAGAGTCGGTGTTAAATTATCAATATTACAAGAAATATATAAACTCTATAAAGATAATATTTTTGAAATTAAGTGGATTTTTCTTCAATAAGTAAATGAAAAGATGTAATAAATTAGAGGTAAATGAAATGAAAATTTATGCTGTTAATTTATTTACTCTTAAATGAATTTAGCACAATTTGAAAGTGGTCTATTTATATCCACTGTTATTATGCATTTAATGCATTCGGCTTGAAAATAACATTTACCATATTGGAGCTATTGATACTACTCGTTCGAAAAAACGAAAGAAGATAAAATCAGATTTAATTATGGAATATAGAAAAGTGCTTTGATTACAAGCCATCTACATCAAAGCAATGTGCTTGACAAAAATGTTAGACTGTAGTTTGTGTGAGATTTTGATGGCATTACTATAATGTTTATAAATATTTGAACAATTCATAATTCATGGTTTAGAACCAATTATTATATGAAAATACTCTCCATACTACTTATTCTTTGAACACGTATGTAACTAATTGTAAATACTGACTAAAATACCAAATACAGACAGATTTCTCATTTCGGAAACTTGTTCTATTTTCAAAAATTATTGACATACCTGATGTTTTTCACTGAAATCATTGATATTTTCACATATCATCAACAAAATATATTCAACTACATTTCTAGTGAATTGTTCTTCTTTCATAACTTGTAAACTTTTTTCTTGGACCAATCCCATAAGGTTACATGCTATAATATAAAAAATTAATGTATACAACTTTATTATTATTCATTGTATATGTAAATATAAATAAGCATGAAATGAACAGATGCCTTATAAAATCATCATTGTCTAAATAATTCCACGCATCTAACTGAAATAATGAAAAAAATGTAACTGTTTATATCATGTCCTAATTCAATAATGTTTTGTTAGTAACTTTGAAAAGTTAATTAATTGTATACAAATTCTAAATTGTTATTTATTTTCAGGTTAACAGGAAAATCAACTTATTGTTTAAAAAACTACTATGATTTTCAGTAATCAATCAATGTTGATGCTCCATATTGAATTGAGTAGTTTTCTGGTGATATAATGTCTTAATGAATAAATGTTTCAATATCGCAATAGCTAATGCTCAGCGGTGAGCATGTTTTTCCTTCGTTTTATGCTTAGGAACTTATTGTACCTGGATATCAGCGATGAGGATTACACAGGTCAGTGAGTTCGGTATCAAAGAATCCAACAACACTAAACTGACTGGGATTATAAGAAAGAGAGAGGCTGAGTCCCAGCCTGACTAACAATAATCGGATGTAAGTAAATTCTAGGTATAACAAAAAGCTCGCCTTAAATTTGGGATTTTATCTCTACTTATAATATTGTAAAATCTTCTCTGACCTGGGTATGGAACAAAGAAGTATTGTCTTGTTCAAAATGAAAAATATAATTTAACAGATGTGATTAATATACAACAACAATTTATGACAATCAATACTTTTGTTAATCTTACTATCATGATTTCAAGTAATTTTACATAGTTCATGAATGCTGATGTAAGATAATATGGACTGATTGAAAGAAAATTTAGGGCAATAACTACCATTTGACTTGATCGACATAAATAAACATTTATAAACTTGATTCAACCTACGATGTAACTAATTTAATCATTGTAAAAGCTGTTTTTACACCCCTCAATATGCAACATAAATTCAGATTAGAACTGTCTTTGTCTATTTTTTTCTAAACGTTCTCGTTATTCAACATGGGATATACATGTATGATTCCTTCAAACATTTTATGAGTTAAATCTTTGATACGAATCGTTAATTCGTTAAAAAGACACCTCATACATTTAGTTTATGAGACATGGGTTAAATAAACAATATTCTTAAAGCAAAAACTTTGCAATCTCATATTTAATTAGCATATACTTAGAAAATTAAACAGAATTAACAACTATAGTGATGCATCGTTTATTCTACAAACTTACCTATATCTTTATAGCTAAAATCCAACTAAATTGAAAATATATGGAGGAAAGGGTTAGTCATTCATTGAAAATAATCGAACATGGGAAAGTTTAAATTGTATTATATTAAGATTAAATAATTTTCGGAAATACAAATTATGTAACTATGTTCTCTGCATTATATGGGATCTTTGTGAAATTATACAGAATAAAGCTGAATTATTCAGTGTCACATTAATTGATATAGAAATATACAGCCTACATACAGTTAAATCAAGGTGTCAAATGAATAGTCTTTTTGTCATTTATTCAATTTTACTAAGTATACTAATGCAATGATTTTATTCTACTACATTCAATCATCAAAAATATGTTTGTGGATTCGAAACAATTATGACGGCGAGGTGTATCAATTCGCCATTGAACAGATTATCTTCCAGATAGTTCGTTTCATGAATTTCAACATAACTCACTGAACAACATTACCTCAGATTGCTGTGTTGCTGTAACAAAACCTACAATATGATAATATTTTGAATGGATAAAAAAAAAGAAAATACTAGTTCTACCTGTTGTACAAATGGACAATACGAAGAAACAAAGCATTCTTGTTTGAATCATATTGAATGCAATTAAAGTGAATATGACAATTAATCGGATTACCTTTATATGATTCTAATGCGCATTTTTTTTTCTAATTGAAGTCTTAATGTTCAAGTAGTTTTGTTTGTACTTAATTCATAAACTTATGAATTAGAACAAGGTTCATTTAAAGTGATACGATAACTACTATTACAAATAACAGTTTATCGTATGTTAAATCGCATGTACATAATTATTTTATCAATGGCAAAAAATATTTGCTAGATTGATAATAACCAGTGTTTAAGTATTAAAAATCTATGAGATTGTAAGTTTCTTTTCTAAAAAAAACAAACAGACAAAACTGTACTATCTAATTGTAGTTGGTAAAAAATTAACATTTAAAGTTTTTGTCTTAATTGTAGACAGATTACTGATTGATGAATAAAAAAGCTATTTTCTAAAATATCATCAGAAAAAAAAATTGGAATATATTACTGACTAAAGTTTAAAATAACAAATAATTAAAAATCTCTTAAAACTGTGTGTATAATCTAGCAAATATACGTTTAATCTAATCAGTTACTGTGTGCTTTGTCGGTAGATTGTCAATTGTAAATTGAGAATTGTATTTAAAAAAATATCAAGACTAATGACGAATAATAGGGGGAATATGTTTTATTAGACACAAAGCAAGTAATAAACACTAGATTAATATATTAATTTTTTGGCAACGTGATTGAATTTTATGATTGTTATAGAAACTAACACAAATCTAATTTGCTTTTACTATTATTCTAGGAAAATCTTTTGACAGTATGCGAAACCATAAGTTGTCAGTTAATTGGGGATCGATTTCTCGATGTAGTTTACACGTTATCTGACTATTACTGTGTAATGATGTCAGGAAATTGATGCAACTATGTAGTTGTAGCGAAGCAGGAATCATTCTGACTAAATTTGCCATGGACTCTATGATAATCTAGGGGCATTAAAAATTATTGAAATGTCACAAGCCTTCTGCGAATAAGCGTAAATGCATAGATAAGTAAGCCATCAAAATTTAAAAGTATTCTAAGACATCTCAGTTAGTATTCGAACAATTGGTTTGACTTTGAAAGATAATACGTTACCCGTTGCTGAAATGTGACCTCATTTCGCACTCCTCACTTATCAGTCATCTGCACCATAGTAAGTGATGCAATACTAGTAAAAAGAATTAATTCGAACGTCTTTGGAATGTTGATTCTCTATGAAAAAAATGGTAACTCTCCGTTTTAATGAAAGGCACCAAGGAAAGTTGATTAATTTACAGCACCCCATCTAAAGTTATATCTGTAAAGATTTAATTTAGCTAAGTTAAATTATCTAACAGATGGTATCATTAAGTGGTAATAAGTAACAATGAGTCTATTATTATTGCCATATTTATTAAAGCATGTGACTCCGCCTGGGGAACTTTTAGGGGTACCGCCGGTTCCAAGCTTGGATAAAAGATTCGGGTATACATTTAGTAACCACATTCAGTAGAAAACCAACTCGCTAAATATGCTGTACGGAAAAATTGTTAAAGTCGTTTAAACTCTGCGCTTGCATTTGGAGGATCTTCACTTAGGAGAGTTATAACGTTTTGTGTTGAAAGCCAAGTTCCTTCGGAAGTCACGAGGCTGACGAGTCTTCTGAAAACCAACGCAACAATTATTATAGGTGCATGGTTAGAGAAAGTTGGTCAGCGGCCTATACTCCATTAGGAGTAACAAGCGTAAGTTGTAAAAGCTTGTAAGTTTGAACACGTGTTGCTGCTCACATACATATTCATCTGAGTAGCTTAAATGTTAATTACCTAAATGATTCAACGGCTGATTCGCTTTTCTATACGTATAGGCTTTTTAAACCCTATTCATTCGTTCTTTCGTTTATTCGAATCTGCTGTTTTTCTCTTCGTGAACTTATGGGTATGTGATCTGTGTCATACGATGATAGACTGTGGTAAAAGCGTTGTACTGTATTCTACAATTTATAAACCATGATAAAATTACCTGATACCGGTTATCTTGACGAGTACTATGCGAAGCATTGTAATTATCTCGAAGATAATCCACTACAGTCTGAAATGTGTTGGTTATAACATATTGTACGTCATCAGCTATTTCAGACTGCAACATGGTATACTATTTGGTGCAGAAGTAGGTTAGAAATAAAGTTAAGTAAGGTTTCGGAAGACCTGAGTTCAGCTTATAAGTCGCTGAGCAACTGGCTAAGGTTTTGTAACATGTGGTTTAGTTCTAGGTATTTGTACTTCATGTGTTCTACAACTATCATTTATTCTCTTCTTAATTTTAGATACATCTGTCATGCAACTTCTATTTTATGGTTTCATTGGTTGTCCATTATTGATTTGGAAACAGTTCAACTTGTTTTTGCTCTCCTTATGCTGGCTTTATTATCACTTGGTAGTTTACTTCGTAAACTACTGATTCAGTTCGTCATAGTTTGAAAATTTCGACAAATCATTCAGCAGATTATAAACCAAATGTGAATTGGATAGATGGGTTACTTTATAGTATTTTAGTAGTCATTATTTGATTACAGAAATGTACATACCATTTGTGAAAACAATTTACTTATAATCGCTTTCACTTCAATGTCGATAAACATCTCAGTGTTAGCTTTTTATCGCACTTCAGTAACTTTTATAGAAATAACTCAGATTTAATTGAAAATTCTATTTGTTAGACATGAATAAGTGATTACATAATCACGATGATACTTGAGTATATAAGATAAACATTTTAATTAAATCATTGTTAACAGATTACACTGTGATGTAAATATATGAGCGTACAGCATGCATTTCTTTAGGAACACACACATTGGGACGAGTTCTGAACAATATTCAAGTTATAAAACAAAACGAAATTCACAGGATTTTTTTTCGAAATTTGCTGAATTTGTACGGTTGCCCTAACAGCCTGTTAATTAGGCGAGTGTCTTATCCACAGAGGCGACTATAGATGGCCATAATATATCACGAACCGGATTAAGCTTGACATGTAGATTACTTTTCCAGGCTCAATGACTTTGAGTTTTAGTACATGCTGTGAGATCTAAGGGTTCTTTACTTGATCCATAGTAAGACGGTGTATGTGCGCCATAAGATATTTTAATAAGATTTCATTTATGTGATCAATAGGAATGACACTGTGTTTTGACAACAATCAGTGGTGATGCATTTATTAACATTGTGAACTTTTGTTAAAAGTGGTTGATGTCAATGAAAACATCAAATCTTTTTTTGTTAAACTTTTATTTCATCATGAAATTATATTTAAAAAATATGTATTTAATTTGAATAAATGATTGTAGTGAAGAATCACTAGTATTTAAAAGGAATACTGTAGCTCAAAGTTGATACAAGAAATTAACAAAACAATCATTTAAAACTTCATTGATCAGACAAACGACAATACTATGATTACATTTCACACATTCATCAAGAGAAGCATTAAGTTACGGATAAGTGATTGAAGTGTTAATCAACGTTTTTTAAAATTTCTCCATTAGTTTTCTTTTAAAGGATGATATAATTAGATTTCAATGAAATCTTTTTGACTAATTTATCATATTAGTGAAACAGAATCACTTTACTTTTTAAAACAAATACCAGTCGCGTTAGTCACCTGACATAAATATCTGCTCTAATGCACAACTTTAGTATGCATATTCTTCAACTTTCACAGTTATGAACAACAAATTTAAATTGTAATCTTTTCACGGCTATCCTTGTCAATGCAAACAATTTTATCGAAATGGATGAAATACTTTTTATCTTTTTGATAAAAAAAGTACATCATTATATCTTCTTTAATATAAATATTGACTCCTTCACCTAGCGTTGATATAATGACATTTATGGCATTGATTAATGATCTAAAGAATCTGTACATTAACTTCATTCATTACATTTAGTTGTATACAATCAACGGGAAACCTGATCATTGTTTGCGGTGGCTTATAACTGTTATAAATACCGTATTTGTTTGACATTCAATTTAATTTAATTACATATGTTGTAAAAATTTTATGTACATAAATATATTTAGCTTGGTGGACACAAGTGATCACATTTTTTTAAACAGAAATTAAACTTCGCTGTACACCATAGTTTATGGTTTTCTTTAAGTCGCAGACAACAGATCAAAAATCAACCAGTATCAAAGATTATTATTCCCTACCATATGAGCTATATTACCGATCAGTTCATTTCGTAGTTCCCAAAAGGTACGTAACCAAAAATAAGACTGGTCAAATATATTATGTTTATAGAAATTAATCAATTCTAAAACCTAGACATCATATAATCAGAAACATTTTCTCATCGCTGGAAATCAATCAACACCGTGTACGTATTAAAGTAATAATAATAATGTATTTATTTTTTAAATGTTTTAAATTAACATTTTTAACCCGTAGTTGTTGAAAAGTTAATTCAAAATTGTTTGAATGCATTAGCTATACACATCAGCTACAGAAATTAACTTGCTAGAACAAAATAGAAAGAAAATTTAAACAAGCGATTAGATTGAAATGAATATTTATATTTGTCACAGTCAAGATTAGTTACTATATAAGTCAGAAGCATATTTACTCATTAGGTAGACAGTAATTTCTACTAAGAGCTTACTCCTACTGAAAAACAGCTAAAAACCAAGCTACGCTGTTGAAGGGTTTTTCTCAAGGTTAAGACTGCTCAAAGATGCCCACCAGCAAAGTATGTTGATACTCAATATATGAAGACGTTCCATATCTCAGGGCAGAGTTTGAATGGTTTGAAGAGTTTTTCCTCGCCAGCGTTTTCTTATCGAATTGGTTTTCTACTGGATAGGGTCGATGACCTTATGCTCAACCCTCCTTGTTTATCTGGGCTCGGGACTTGCAGGAAACCCTAAAGGAAGCCGAGTGGAGTCGGTTATCCGTACTGCAATATAATTAAATTTGTATGCATATACCAATTTAGGTCGTTAAAAATCATCATCCAAGAATACTTTCTTACCATACAAGTATCTACAGCTTCAGTTCTGTTGAATATTATAAGATATGAATCAACTATTTGTGAAGCCACATCATAACACTAAAAATCAAAAAAATAACGAAAGGGATAGTATTACATAGAACTATCAAAACTTTATATCGGTGTCGATTTGTTATTTGAAATGAATGTTCCACCTCATAATTAAAATTTGTCTTCATTAAGCTTTTCTTACCACAAACATCTGGTGTGTTAGGTTTATTTGTGTTTAAAAGTAGTCTTATTATTTTTAGTTTAAAAAATATCTTTTCATAAATATTAGTAGGATTAGAGAGGGCTATAATGATGATTAGAATGAGGTAGTGGTGGATGTTGAAATTAAGAATGCAAAACCGATTGAGAATTTTCCATCATCATTAATCATTATTATTATTTACTTAGATTTAGAGTTAGTCGCTTATGAACTTACTTGTTAACTGTTTGAATACAACCTACGAGTTCAGTTCATATGAAGATTACTAATTTAATCAAAGTTTAATAAGTTTAATAAGTTTAATAATATCGATGAATTCTTTCCTAAAGAGCTTACAGTCAACTAGCATCAAGTAAAGTGAAATTGTATGAGTTAGAACCAATTTACTTGTATAATCTTTAAGACTTACTAATTTACAGTAATTAAAAAACAAGACTTTTGTTTGCAAATCAACCCAAAGTTTTAAGATTACGTATGATGAGCAGCATGACTAGCGAATCGATTTTCTAATAACATGGTGAAATATATATATTGGTAAGTAAGTACTGCATTTGAATATCTACATCTTCAAGTTAGGTTCACAAACATATCCAAATTATTAGTAGCGCCATTTTGACATTTCAATTTTCAAAAATAAATAAGAAATGTAGCCATGTGTCATAAACAATAAACAACTCAACCTAAAAGACTTCTTTCATGTTTCTTTTTTATTTATTTAAATAAACCTGTTTTTATACAGTTCTAGGTTTTATGAATTAGAAATAAGAAAAAAATCATTAATGAAATCAGTAAAATTATATAGCCTTGATCCAGTTAAATATCAGGTTAATTAACAGTTAGCAGTTAAAGTAATGAGAGCCATTGAAAAATCAACAACCTTTTAAACTGAGCTTGTTTTTTATTCATTTAATGTTTCAGGAATCCAACAAGCAAAGAATTTTCAAATATTAAAATAAATAGAGTATAAATTTATTGACAGTTTTATGTCCTACTGTAGATTTTACATAGAGCATTTATTTTAGTTTATAATTACGGTACTTGCATTTTCATGCAACTCAGCGTCATTGTGAGTTTCTCTGTTTATATGGATTTTCCACTACTAAAAGATTTAACTTGTTTTTGTTAGTAATCAAAATTACTCTGAAATATCTATGTTTTAATTTACAGTAGCTCTTCATCTGCAAGCAGGTATGAATATATGTAGTACTAATAAGGTCAGTAAGATTTGTTGTTGAGTAAACTGTCATAAAGGTGTATGAAGGTCGTTATTTTGTTATGCATATATATATTCACTGAAAATTCAATTAAAAATATGAATGAAAGTTAGAGTAATGGGTTGAACGATAATATTTTCAAATCTTACCACTAGTGTATAATCTTCCACTACAGAACACATTTCTTGTATAATAAAATGAATTGTTTGAAGTGTTGAAAGTTTTATTATAAATTCTCTGGTTAAATTAATCACTTTCTTACAAAAGAAGCATTTTATTGTAGATAGAATATTTGGAAATTGTCTAAATGTATCATTCGGACTTGATATATGAATAAAATTTTCATGATAATGTTTATTTACTATCTATATGTAAAAGAATTTATTATTAATATAAATTCATGTTATAATTAAAATAAATTATGTAGCATCATTTACCTTAGTTCCATGTATTACTGTACTAATTAAAACTAACAAAACAATTATATTTTTTGTCAAATTGAAAATTACCTGCAAATAATATAATTACAAAATATATCTTCATTTATGTGAAGTAAAACAATTTTATTAGATTTATTTAAACTTTAAAATTTTTAAAGCAAATTAGCATAGTTTCAAAGTTCAATTTATGACTGCAGCTTGCTGATTTAAAAATAATTGAAAATCTTAATAATAAACTATTTCTTCACGTAAACGATATAAAATTGTTTCGTTTTTCAATACAATAAAAACATCATGTCAAAAATCACTGTCAACAGAACATTAATCGAAAGGAAAATATCTGATCTTTTATTCTACAATATATATACTCGATAATTTTGTGTATACGGAATTTTAGACTGTGATGCTTTTTATTAAATATACCGAGAATGCCATTTGATTTTTTTTCTGGTAACAAATTTTAAACATTAAAGCATAAACTACGCCACTGTTTTTTTTAAACCTTTAAGCAAGTAGGATAAAAATTTTTTATTGAAAATCAGTTAATGAACAGCAACTATACTGTATAACTTGTTATCAAATAGAGTTAAGTGTGTTAATAATAAAAATTTAAAATTTTTAGAAGAATGCTAAAGGTTATATTTTTATACAAGCATCAAAATTCAAGTGTCATTTGTCAGGGTAGGGAACAATGTTCAAATTTTTATCTAACCATTTCAATAAACAATTATTTATTGGAAAACATGAATATTTGAGAAAAAAATTAATGATTAACTTTATAAGCATTGTAGAATGTAAATAAAACACTTGTGATTTGTGTATCGTATGAAGGTGAACAATATTAAAAAAAAACCAAGAATATATACAACTATTACATACATGCATTTTTTTCCAATCATCACGGACATTGCGTAATGTTCCACATTAGTTGTATTGTGTTAACATTATGTTCAGGTAATATTATTATTTGAAATGTTTCTTATTAATTTTATATTTATCTCTAGTGATTTTATGGCAAACTGGTGTAACTAATGTAAGTACACATCCTGTAGACAACGATGATACGTTATTCTATATCAATTCATGAAAATTATCAATATTTAAATATAAACATTTTAAAATAGATGACAGAGGCAATATATTTTTCATTTTATATAGGTGAACCTTTGATATGATTCACTGTGAAATATGAACTTTCTCTTCAGAGAATAACTGGCTTTTAGAAGTGAAAATTTACTTTTGTGCTAAAACAAGTTGAATAGGGGGAAGAAAGGTTAAATTGTACTGTACTTTGAGTTGAAGGAGCTTTGATAACATACGACGTTACTCATATATTTCTATAAAATTAATGTACAGTGTACATGTAAACATTTTTAAAGAAAAAATTATCATTATGAAGTTTATATAAAGTATAAATAAATTAGTAAACATTCTGAAGGTCGTATCTGTCGTTCAGTGTTTAAAAATTTAACATCTTGCTCATTTTAGTGGTCTTTTCGGATAAAGCTTATGAATTGTTAACTGTCAAATGACTGAATATACTTTTCGATTCCATGTGTACAGCTTTTGTAAGATTATCTTCAAACGGCAGTGTACTTTCGATTCGAAGTGATTTCGTATTCACAATAGCTATTTGTGATTTTATACAACAAACTGTAGAGAACATAAGGAGCCTAAATGTATATATAGGCTCGTAATTTTGGCGCTCTGATTTAAGAATATTATAAAAATAGTATCGAGCTAAGACTATGCTTTGTTATTTTAAAATCTTTTGGAGATTATTACGTAATACTTAACCGTGTTTCAATGCCTGTAATTCATCTGAATCAAGGCCAAATCATCTGTGAAAATAGATCGTGAAGAAATAGGTAATTTAAGAATTATGATATCTGTAATTAGAAAATGTGTTTACCTATAGAATGTGACATATGTATCGGCGCAGTATCACTTGGGAAGCTGTTTCTTGTGTCACCAGTCATGGATAGTATAAAGAAAATGCTAGTAGGAAGAATGTGCACTTTACCTGGGATTATGACAAAAAGAGTAAGTTAAATTTAGTTTGATTCGAAACGTGGTTAGTTAAATACAGTGTCAAAGAAAAAAGTTTAAGATATGTGATGTACCTATCGGTAGATAAATAAAACCACCTAAAGAGTTTATGTATAATGTGAAAACGATCAGCAGTTATGATGTAACGAAATCAGATGACGATGATAATAAAGTTTTAAATCGATCAGTTAGAAAAGTAAATAAATCTCATTTCTATGTATTTTAAATCATTTGTCAATGTTTAGACGTCGATTGTTAAAAGTCTACCAAAAGTAGTTAAGGATCTGCATCGGCTGATTCACTAGAATTAAAACAAGCTGCCACTTGCTGCCTTACAAACCGTCAGCAGATTTTGATAAAATAACTTGATTTCAAAAGTGAATATGTGATGAATGGAATAGACCAATTTTTTTACATGCCTTATTAAAATACTGATGATTATGACAGTAACTCAATGTTTAATTCAACTTCGAATGGTGACATTTTGATGATTACTCATTAATTCGTCACTGAAAATGCAAAAGTAAAGTGTTTATTCCGGAATGTTCAGTAAAATTTTGAAGATTTTATTTACTACGTAATCAGTCCTGTTTTTTCACACTTATTATTAGACAATAAAATTCAGTATAAAAAGTGTGACGAGAATATTAACCATTATGTAATAACAGTGATACTTTTTTGGATAAACCAGAAAACTGTACTTCATTTTTAACCCCCCTAGTCAAGTTTTTCTTGACAATGAAAATAACTATGTTTAGACAAAATCTGGAAAGCTTAATGAATTCATTACTTTCGACCCCTAACAACATGGGGTTTGTAGATAAATATGATAAAAGATAGAGCATAGTGTCTTTTTATTCTTGGTTGCAGAGCAAGGGAAGAGAATCTTTGAACTATGTTTATATTTGAATAAATAGTTTGCTTTTCTTTTTGAGTAAACAGTAATAAGACGAAATATATGCCTAAATACTGTTTTAAAAAAGCGACGTTTCTTCAAGTTCAGACATCTAATTCTATGAGTAGGAAATACTATTTTCAAAAAAAATGTCAATTGCATTGTTAATATTTACAAACGTATGATTAATATATGTTCCTTATTTACAAACAATTGTTTGTAATCAATCCTCATAAATTTCGTTATGTTTAGTGTATTCATTGGGGATATAAACAGGTAGACAATTTAGTTGTTCAGCTTTTAAAACAAAGTTCATCGAAACCATGTAAGGTTAGTTTTTTTTATTTATTGAAAATGAAATTAGTTTATCATGATTTTAATAAAAAGTAGGAAGCATTCAATAAAACAAATAAATGAAATTCAATAATTGCTGGAAATTATTGATGCCTTGTGAAATTATTTCGTTCTTGTCCACTGTTTACACTTCAAGTGAAGATCCAGATGCTGATATTAAAAGCTGTATTCATATGAGATGAAGTTTTATGATAGCTAAACTGAATTTACATGATTATCCTGACGTCAGATAAATTTACCTTACTCAACGTAATTATAACTAATGTATGATAGAATCAAACTGAGAACTGAGAAGTAAAACTTTCTATAAGAAGTTTTATGAGATTGACAATGATAAAGTTTTTCAAAACTTAATTTTTTTTATAAACCTATCGATAAATATTAAACGATTATATCGGATAAATAAGAGTATTAAGCTGTTCATATTTATTCCTTAATACAAAAAGACACCTTGAAATAATATGCAAAAAAAACATTGATTACATTTGTTAGTGATGTGAACTAATGTGGATTTCTATGTTGTTTCTATTTCCTAACTACAGTATGTTTCGTATTGTCCAGATGAAAAATCACCAAAACATTAGAGAGTTGAGTAAACATGTAAGTGAATTATAATTCGCAATTTTATTTTGAAGGATATATTCTAAAAACACTAATATTAATAAATTTGTACATTAATTAATTTGTTTCTGTATAAAATTAGTATGTGTTGTTAGATTATTTGTTAAACTGAAAAAGAAATTACTTTCGCAATATTTTATTTTAAGAAATTAATTTTTTCTTTACGTTCGACTACTACGGTGACCAGAAATGTTCAGATTATGACAATGGAATTTGAAATCAGCCAAATAATATTAATAATAAGCCACATATCGATTGAGGAAACTTATTTCAGGAATACATTGAATTGACTTACTCTCACATTACTAGGAATGGATGCTAGTTCAAACTTCAATGCAGGCTATTATTTTAACGTCAGAATTTGTCTGCGATGCCTATTTATAATGAAATAAAACTGTAAACCTAAAGAGTACTGGGACTTGTTAGTAGTACGCTTCTTCAACCTCAAAACAAGGAATTAAATCGAGTACCATTGGTCTCGCACAACAACATCTAATTTTTAGACTATCATGCTGGATCCTGTCGTGTACAACCTTAACTTCAGTGAATTTATGATATTGCGTCATTATTACCGATTGTTTTCTTCGGGAACCTTTCTCATTTTTTTACCATAAGCTAATTCTACTAGTCAAATTATAATCTATATGACAGCTAATTAGTTCTTACACAAAATCCGTTAGATTACCACAATTTGTCGAGTTCAAAATGAAAATTAAATTCAACTATAAATGTTTTGATAGTTCAGTTAAAGAATTTTTCATTTTGTTTGATGTAATAATGATGGTTTCAATTGTAAAAGTATATGTTGATTGGATATTTTACTTTAACGCTTGATACTTTCCATTTTGTGTAAACATTTTTTCAGTGAAACAAAATTTAAGTTCGATTATTTTTGGTGAACAACTTGATCTGAAGAAAACAAAAATTCGTAGCATGCAATAATTTTTAGCTCAATGACAAATATATGGTTTAATATAAAGATGTAGAATTTTTCATACAACTTGTCAATTTGTATCTTTCAAAAAGTTTAAATACCATTATTTTTACAGGTAGAGTTGCCACTGAAATAATTAATTAAAATCCATTTACAAAGAGAGCAAGATATTATTCTGCATGAAAATCGATGACCAGATTTTCTTGGTCATGTAACATTTCTTCCGTGTTTGAATAATCGATCGATTCGTCTAACATTTTAAGTGCTTTAACTGAGAAGATATTGAAAATTAAACATTTTATTTAGGAAGTAACTTATTTATGTTTAATTCGTCCTTCGAATCAAATGACTTCAAATGAGTTAATAAGCAATAAATAACTATATGGCACAAAAACCAACTAATTCATTCATTTTTGCGGGAACTGAAACATTCTTACTGAGATAAGTAAATTTTAGTCTGTTGAACAGTCATTAGGTTGGGAACATTAGCTATGACAGTATGTATTTTAACCTTGGACGATTATGAACAACGGGATTTATCAACTGTAAATTTTATTGTTACATCTTGTAAATGGAAACAATTTCACCAATACATTTTTCTTCTACTCGGTAATAACCAATATCTTGTGTGCCAAGTTTGTGTGAGCTAATGGAAATTTACCAATCACATTGAGATATGAACACCAACTTCGTATTTACTATATTATAATATTAAGTGAACAAAACGTTTCCATAGGTAATCCTTTCCTAATTAGCTGATCAGTAAGAAATGTAAATATAGGAGCTTTGTCTTAACTACATCTAACCTTTGATTAAGATATCGCTAGCTGTTACAGTGATATTATTAGTTATATGAAAATAAGTTACTTCAAGGTTGAGCACCGATGGTAACCTCTTTAATCCCAGTAAAGATAGCTTGAATTATTCGTCTGTTGACTCTTTATGACTAAATGCCACGTAACAGACAAAACATTTTCTGATTACAGTTTAATTATGAAAACCAAAGTTATTAATGGTTAGTCAAAACTGTCATTAAATGGGAAATGATTCTTCGAAATTGGAGAAAATAACCTACTGAAAAGTATACAGTCAATTATTTAAACTGTGAAATATGTGTAAACGTAAGCAGTAAAAATAGAAAAAAAATTTCAGTATGTTAAAAATTTCAAAACACTTATAAATGCATAGGATAATAGATTTGTTGCCATAAAATAAGCCGCAGCACACAAACTTTTGAAGTAGTTTAATGGCGATATTAGAAAAACGAGGTAAATGCATAGTTTGTGTAATGTTTCCTCTAATAAATTTGTTCTGTGTTAAAAATATCAGAAGTACGAAACGAGACCAACTAAATTCAAAGAATAAAATGAAATCGTTCTAATTTATGGCTTTGCATCAGTTGCAATCAGTCATTCGTTACAAAGAGTATTATAATCAGAAACATTGGTTTAAAATATTATGTTATGTATGGTCCTTCCAGAAATGAAAATCACAATGTCAAGACGAAAATACAACGTGTGATATTAAAACAGTAAGGATTTATGCCGATCTAGGTTTCCAAAAATGCTAATCGAGTTTATGGACACCAATAATCGTTTTGAGGAAACTGTACAAACCTGAGAATAAATATAAACACGACTAGAAATAAAGTCACACTACTGTATTTGATATCAGTAAGATTATGCAACAGATAAGGGTATTTATTCACAATTCTGTTTCTCATGACAAACAGATGTTTATCACAGTTGTTTTCAGCTAGCATAGATGACAAATGTTTGACGTTAAGGGCTTCATTATAGTGTATTAAGAGTCCCTTTCGTTAATCGCCAATTAATTAGAATGATAGAAGGCTACCCAAATGTTAAATTAGTATCTTTAAAGTGTTTGATGAATGTATTTAGAAAATCATTACTCTTTCTCATACTTAAGTTTCTGAGGATTCGTTTGCATTACCTAGTATTAAACTCATTCAATGAGATCCATGAAAACTTTGTTTCCAAAGTGCAAATTTCTTCAAATTTATCAGGTGACCAAATTTATGAAATTAAACTTTATGAAATCGAACTAAACCAAGTTGTTTTTAAGGCTTAGAAGATTCAGTCTCACAGCTGTTCATTGGTAAAATAAGAGTTTTTTGAATGATATTTTTCACTTTGATGAATGTAAGAATTCCTATAGTGAATCACAAGTATTATTTACCACTTCAACAGTTTGAGGTTCTTCAACCAAAACTATGACAAATGAATCACTATGAAGAAAACAGATATCACACATATCAAAAGTGTTTTGTGGTACTTCTGAATAAATATATGTACATGTTTATTGATCAATGAGTTACATCACAGTTAGTTGTAAGGTTGTATTCACTTCACATAATATTTATACGTTTTAAATGTTTACTAATGAGAAATATTAGTCCTGGCCGTTTTCTCGGACTAGATATTTGGATCAAAGTAGTTAATTCTATTGCTGAAAGAAAGCAAGCGAGAAATCATTTCCATAAGTATGTACTGAAACAAGAGTTTTAACTGAAATCGACAGCTCTGTATATGGAAATTCAATTAAGACCAGTTATACAAAATCTAGAATACGATGAGAGCTTCTATACCTCTGGTTCTTCTACAAGACAAGGGAAATATGCCTAGTTTAACCAGTCTCTCGTCATACCACAGCTTTGCGATTGCTGAAATCAGCTAAATTACAGTTTTTTTAATTGTTTCGAACAACCGACTGTCAGCTTTTTAGGCAGGGGCTGGCCGTCTGTATGCAGTACTGAAGTTTAAGATGATGGAATACCGTATGCTTAGTCAAAATGTCTCAGCATCAACATAGCTAAAGGCTTTACTTACAGACTATTCAGTTCTGAAAACTTATTGTACGGCAGCATGCAGCAGTTTTCAAGTCTCGGCTATTAACGACTCTTAGGTCGTTGTTTGTCTGCATAATATGTAGCTCTGTGTAATTTACTGTGTACATATCTGCACCTTGTGGTCGATGTGTATCACAAACCATTTGGAAGCATTTATTAGCAACAGTCGAATTCCAAACCACTCAGATAATTTCTACAAGTCATTTTGATGCTGTAGGCTATTACAGTCATTCTTTAGTCTCAATCTATTTCTTGATTTCGTTAGCATATAACAAAATCAATGAAGATTGGAGATTAGGAAGGTGATTTACCTACAGAAGGAACAACATGACCCAGATTTGTGTAGGTGGCTTGTAACAGATTCAAGATACTGAATAGGGGTAGTATTTAAATTAGTAGTGTAGGCTAAGTGCAGACAGAGTGAAATTGAACTCGTGAAGAATAAATATTCCGTAACAAATGTAGGAAGGCGAAAAGACATAGTCATTGTTTTTACTTATGTCTGGTCTTTTATCAAAAACTTTAAAACTTGAAGTTGTCATCGAAAGCTGGTGTTTATCAGCTTTCAGCAAAGAATGTTTTCATTTTGTTTTCGATAACAATGCATTTGTGGAGTGAATATTTTCCAGCATACTTGTCTTGACTTATTTATTTGAATTGAGATACTGTACCATTTTTTGAACATTTAAATAAATCATAAGTACAATAAATTTTTGATTACTCATCAATAAGTAGGTCATTTCATTGATCAACATGTTATTAAAGAGGTGTTTTTTGCTAAACAGCGACTTGATCTACGGATATACTTAATTTATTGGATATTTCATAATTTAAGTATTATCCTTAAGGAGTTTTATCCAAGTTAATTTGTTCTTCTTCATTTTAGTATAATTCACTACGATAATTTTCTTCAAAACTAACCCTAATCTACCGATTCATGGCTTCTTTTGTACAGTTTTGGGCAAATTTCAAGAAAAAATCCAAGACCTTTGAAAAATATAAGATACTTTATTATTCCCATTAGTGTCTCCCTGGGTGCAAACTATCGTCTACAAATATAATGATTAGGATATTAAACATGCATTATCAAGCGCTTTTCAGATCGATAATTCGAGAATAGAAGGTACATGTCGCAAATAGTCTATCATTTAAAACTTTGCCATCTTCAAGTGGTACTTAAGAAATCAAGTTAATTAAAATCATTATTTGTTAAACCGACACTATAAACACAGTGAATAGTTGTTATCAATTTATAGAATGTACTTTGAATAACTACTAATTCAATTTAGAAAAATGTTATTCATATATGGTATTCGCTTCATGAAACATTTTATTTGTACAGATCAGCTGTGCTTAGATCAGGTAGAAAATATTTACAGATCACATTTATAGATGGTTGTTTTTTACTGTAAAAAAAAACTTTTTATTCTAACAAAAATTATAAATGAATTAAACTTTATTATTTTTCTACGAAACACTTAAGTAATATTTTATATAATATAAATCAGAAATAATAAGCTTATTCGGATATAAAAGTAAATTGAACTTCAGTCAGTTTTTTTATGCATAACAAACAATAATGAACAATGTAACAAGAATGCATTTATGCAGATATAAATGTCTGTTTATTCAATGTGAAATTATAGAATCTATTTTGTGTTATCATGAAGTACTTCATCAGTGTGATATTCACAGTGTTAAGTATGATAATGTGTTTTTTTTGTGAAGCTGAATGATAAATAAATTTTTATTTTCTAGTTGGAGTCACTTTATCTTACACTGTGAAGGTAAATTATTTTTTTTAACTAATATTTATTGTTTTCATGAGATGTGATTTGAAAGAGTTTGTTTATTCATGCTCAATTAGATGAGATGATATTAAGTATTTGAGAAAAATACTCAATAATTAAATCTTATTTAAGCATCTTAACTGTTGGCTTTTCTTAAGCAGACATGAATGCCCTAGATTTGAAAATGAATAAAATTTTCTGTGAATAATTGAATGAATGCAAAATGATACGTAACAGTTATTAATTATTATTAATTATAATACATGTCATTTTTCTTCGAGTAAGCGAATAATTATTGGAATTTTTTATAGATAGTGCACTTTAATATACAATAGGATTTTAATCAGTATCCCCTGAATGTGTAGTGTTAACTGTAGGATCCAAACTGAAGTTTGGATCGAGGAATAACTAACTGTCTAGGTAGTTTAGATGCGCGCCTTGAAACAAAACAAGTGATTTGGGTAAATAACGGTTCTAAACAATATTACCATGAAACTATTCCACCAACAATTGTTCAATTATTCAAATTGACAGCAACAAATAGATGATATTCTATCCCTCCTAGATTGATCAGATTCGTTTGACAGATAATATATGGTTGTTTTATAACACAGAGTGTTTCCAATTCTGAAAGAGTGCTTCAATTCATAATCAAAATGCACAATTCCAGTCAAAGCAAGCAACCGACTCAATCAAAAGAGGAACAAATCAGTATGGTTGTCGTCATGACTAAGTATCAGCTTAAACAACATAAATGCAGTTCACAAAGAAACATAGAAACTCAGTAAAGGCAGAAAAAATAGAACCATAATAAAATACAAATATTATCATCTTAAATGGAATCGAACAGATTAACAAAATGTACAACTGAAGGAATCAATAAGAACATATTACAAATGTATACATAGAGGGATTTTCACAAACAAAGCGTTCAAAAATAGATCTTATTCTTATCAAAATATTCTGTTCACCAATGTTATATTTCATTTTCTGTACTACGAAGCTATGATGATGAGTTTTTTTGTTTCTAAATGTTTAAGAATGTTAACTAAGAAAACAAATTATCATTTTGGCAATAACCATTTAATACATTTGCAATGAAGTTTAGCATTTATTGAATTGTAGAGCGATAATGAGAAATCAATGTCACTTCAGTTCATAATTTATTTAAAGTACCTTTTATTACAAATTTAATATTAAATAAAAATTTATCAATTTCAGAATATAGATATATCGAACACAGGAGATAAGGATGACTATCAATATGGTAATAATTATAGTAAGTTAATTTGTTTTTACCAAATAAAATCTTACAATACCATATTTAGCTTGTTCCATGTGTATACAATATCTCACAAAATGGCAAACATATTTGAACTCAACTGAAGTGGAAGCAGAGATTGAAAGTTATGCCAAGTTAACGTGTGCATATTCCTTATTTTTCAGACATCGGGTAAACTGAAAAAGTTAACTTTGTATTTATTTAATTGTCATTTGCAAGATTTTACACTAGGAGTTTTTAAATATCATCGATTTTTATAAACTGATTCTAACGTGACAATCTGCATACATCAATATTTTAGCACAAACCCATCAACTTCTTCTTGATGAAATTAAAATAGAAAAATTAAGGAATTAACAGAAATGCAAATGTTATTGTTTAAACGTTCATGACCTTTGCAGTCACTTTTACGTCTGCTTTCAGTGCCCCGGCTGTCATGTTGTCTAGTCCTGATGCTTCACCATTATGGATCTGTCTGATATTCATGCTATTTCTTCGATTTTGGGTTGGTTCAGTGGAGATTATTGATTCAAGAGTTCTTCAAAGTGCTCTAAACTTTTGTTTTAGTGATTATTTGCCCTCCTTGCTTTTCACAGGTCGTTCTGGTTTGCTACAGTTTCCAGTCAGCTCCTTGGTTGTATCACACAGTTGTATCATGTCTCCTTTTCTTGAAGAATTTTCTGCTGTTGTGGATAGATTGTCCACATATTTACGTTTGCTGTTTCTGATCCTCCTCTTCAGTTGCTTGATTACTCCTGTGTATTAAGCTTGTGCAGTGGCATTCTTTGCCCTTGTTCGGCTGTGATTGACAGCTGCCTTCATGTTTTTTCTTATTCGAATTCCATCCACAGTATAAATACAGACCTAGAATATAGTGAGATACTTATGTTATTACTGCTTCGACCCGTTTCCAGTTGTTCTCCATGATAGTTTCCTCTTTTTTGAGCAGATCATAAAAAGCTTTGCAAGGATTTGCTTTTGTTGTTGCTTTGAATTTGTTGAGTTTTCTAGTGTCCTTAAGAAAGGCTGTATTAAACTTTTGTAATTCTGTTTTTCCAGTTATCCAGTGTGTTTTCAGCTTCTACTTGGCCATTACTACTTGAAGATATAAGGGTATATCAACTCCTCTCTTGGTTCTGACGTCCTCCCTGGTCCTTCTGAGCCTTTTATTGATGCGGACGTGATCGATTCGGTTCTCCGTAATGTAGTCCGGCCAAACTCAGGTAGCTTTGTGCATGCGCTTGAGTGAGAACATTGTGCCGCCTACAACCATTTTGTTTAAGACACATAAATTTGTAAATTTCTCATCGTTTTCGTTCCTTTCTCTCAGTCCGTGTCGTCTCATACTGTCTCCATATCCAGTGCTCTCTATTCCAACCTTGGCATTTAGGTCCCCGATAGGAATAATGAGGTCCTTTATTTGGCATTTCTCGACGATTGTCTGCAGCCTCTCATGAATTTCATTTGTATTGTCTTCAGTGTTATCGTTGGCGTGCGCATAACACCTGATGATACTCTATGTAATTCCTTTTTTCTATGTTTTGAAAGATGCTTTGGTGATCCTGGTTTCATGAGATTCCCATCTTATGAGTGCATTTTTGCTAATGTTGGAAGCATCTGTGCAAATCCATATGTATAAAGCATTTTCTTCTTCGTGAACGGAGTAGAGCATCATCTGTGCTGAAGCTTACCTTTTTTCTCCAGCCTGCATCCAACGTGATCCAAGCACCAACGTTTTGTATCATCATTGAAATATTCTAGGTTATCATGGATTGAGAATTTATACTTTACATTATAGTCAGAAGTTGTTAAAACAGTACTGATATATATATTTTTTAGTTTTCATAGTATTTATAGTACGGAAAAATAATATATGAAACTGTGTATCCAAATTGTATTTCATAAGTGAATCGAGTTGGTAATTTCATCTTTATCTTCCTTTCTCGATTCATCCTATAATGGTCGACTCAAGTTATTATCTGATTAAAAAAATGTTTGACGTGTGTGTGTACATAAGAGTGTAGTCAGTTGTTGTGATAATCCTATTTACATGAAGTCTACCATGAAAAGGATTTTATATTACGTGTCCGAAACCTCATTCACAATTCATCTATCAAAGTTTCAGTCTCATAAATTCTATGAATTTTCATAATTTTACGCCAGATATTTCAAAATAAGCCTTGAACAAATTTCCTAAAATGTTTAATTTATCTTTTAATTTACTTGACAATTCGATCATTTTTGGTTTCAGTGCGAAGAACTAATGATAAAATACTTTAATGAAACATTCTCTGTTATAGAGCATACCAATGCTACAACTTTATGCAAGGTAAGACAGATGTAATAAAGTATGTTAGTGATTAGTTGAAATCAAAAGTTTTCTAGCACTGAATGTATACCCATAAATATATATACATCAGGGTAATATAGTTAGAAATCTCTTGACTCAGTTTTTACACCAAAAGAGAGTGTTAGGCAGGACTTGGATGTTCTAAATTTCTCAACCATAAGAAAAAAAATCCCAGCTTTGAACTTTCCAGTAGCATTTATTATTGTTCCGTTTATTTTTCAGTTTACTCTACTCTGTTAACAATACGGTGTGAAAACTCTGATTTAACTCTACACTACTGTGTAGCTTTTTCAGAATAAAAATATATGTATTAAACATATTTTTTAGTTTTATTTTTCTAACAGCTTCACATTTACTGGGCAGCAAATCTAATGTTATTGTCCTCAGTTATGAAATATATCAGAGTTATAAATAATGACACGTTACGTTTTCGATTCGCCCGAACAGGTGATCATTTCTCAAAAACAAAGTGCATTTTAGATAACAAGAAGGCATAGTGTTAATGCGAGTATGATTATCAGTTATCTGATATACACAATGGAATTTCTTCAGTCAATTACGTTTTACTGCCTGTAGACCCTTCGGAGCTACTGCCGTTCCCAAGCCCGGATAAAGGATGATTGGGCATGGGGTTGGCGACCCCATGCCGGTAAAAACCGACTTGCCAAAAAACGCTAACAAGAAAAAAGAATTAAGACCATACAAACTCTGTTCTGGGAGTTAGAACGTCTTGATTTAGAAGAGTTATCACGTCTCATTCTCAAACCCCGTACTAAATTACATAATGGAGCTTTCAATGTTCGAACCTTGTGCCAAATAGATCTTCAGACTCTATTAGCTAGAACTCTGGAATCTTGTGCAATCGATGTATGATAGGTCTCCAAAACGCGCATACAAGATACAAGTAAAATTATCAATTTGTTTTCACGTTGTGCAGATAGCGAAACAAAACGGTTTCCGCCCACGTTTCTGGAAGCCCTAATGCTGCTTCCCGTAGCCTCATTGGTGTAGGTATAGAATTAAGTCCTAGGGTAGAACCAGCTCCCTTAGACTGGATTCTGGTAGGCGGTCGCTAATGCTCTGTCCGACTTAACGGTACGGACTCGGAAGAATAGGGACACTCGCTGTTGCCTCGTTGTTGTCTTTGATAACGCTCCCACTGACTGCAGTTCAGAGGAGGTAAAAGATGAGGGCAGCCGGTCTTGATAGACTGATCCCTGAGAATTTTAAGAATGGTGGTTGAGTTTTAGCAGTTAGATTGACTGAGATCTTAGTTAGAATCTGGAAACAGGACGTAATGCCATCTGACTGTACTCAATCGCTGATTGTCCCAATTTACAAGAAAGGACAAAAGTCCTCTTGTGACAGTCACAGAGGAATCAGTCTAATTGATAGTGTCTAAATTATTAGCCTCGATAATACTTAGTCGCGTAAGTAGAGCTCGAGAAGAGCAGGCTGGTTTCAGACCCCGACGTGGATGCATAGACCACATTTTCACACTACGATGGGTTCTGGAACATAAACACACATTTAGGCCTCCGACAATAAATGTGTTCCTGGACCTTAAGGCAGAATTCGACTCTGTGAATCGTGAGGTTCTGTGGCAGTGTCTGTCATTGAAAGGTGTACCAAAGAAGTACATTAACCTTATACCAGCTCTCTACTCGAAAAATACTGGTCGAGTGAGAGCCTGTGGCGAACTGTCATCTTAATTCTCTACTTCAATTGGTGTGCGTCAGGGTTGTCCACTCTCTCGATTCCTGTTTAACTTTGTCGTAGACACGCATCTAGATAGAACTTTATCTTCGTCTGACTTTTCAGGAGTGGACTTTTTACTAGGAGACAAGCTTGCTCACTTAGAATATGCTGATGACATAATTCTATTTGGTGAAGACGCTGACAAAATGCAGAGTCTTCTGACTACTCTAAGTAACAATGCAAGCATTTTCGTGATGCGGTTTTCCCCCACGAAATGTGAAATCGTGCTTCAAGATTGGATGCGACAGCACCTGAACTAGTGATAGGGAGTGAAATAGTCGAGCGTGTCGACCAGTTCATTTATCCTGGCAGTCTGATCAGTGCTGATGGTCTGGTGATTGACGAAATCTCAGCACGGATACAGAAGCCTCATTTGGCTTTTACCAACCTGCGTCACTTATGGTGAAGGCTAGATATCCATTTGCTGACTAAAGGACGAGTGTACTGAGCAATAGTTCGCTCCGTCCTACTTTATGGCTTTGAAACATGGTCAGTGAGAGAAGGAGATATTCGTAGGTTGCTATTCTTCGATCACAGATGTCTTCGAAGCATTACTCATGTGTCCTGGGACAACTGAGTAAGCAATACTGTTGTTAGGAAACGAATACTAGGTAAGGATGATAGGTCAATAGAGGAAGTATTGAAACTGCATCATTTGAGGTGGTTGGGACATGTGGTATTTATGCCCAACCTTTGGTTGTTTCTACGAGCTGTGATGTAGGAATAGGTTGGAAGAAAGCCAGGGGGTGCTAAAGCCAAACATGGCGGAAATCCACGGAGACACTGACAAGTGGACTGAGTCATGTCGATAAGTGTCGACTACTTGCTTGATAGTCGATTATAGTAATCAATGGTTAGAGACTTTGAATGATATAGTTTGAAATCGTTTGCAATGTTGCAGGTGCATTCATTCTCTGTGTTATCTCAAATCCTAACCTTCTGAATTCATCATCACCTTTATCTTTTTATTTCAAGTTCATTTTACTAGATTCTAATTCTTGAATAACATAGTCGGAAGCTAAAATTTCCGATCACTGCTAATACTTCTACTACCTTTACTACTATGGGAATTGTATTGACAGTCGCATCTCTGTGCTAATGTGACATGGAAGCTTGAACTTATTTACGTACGTCTGAAGTTCTGTGTTGTTTATGATGGACTGTTTAGTTTTTCAGGGAATCATTTGCAGCCATGGTTCATTCGAAGAAAAGTATTCATACGTTGAAGACATTCATAGATCTCTAACTTTTGAGATGAACAGTAAAGTTGATCAACGTATGTAGTAGATATTATGCAGTTTTGTTAAAAGATAATGTTAACAGGTTGTCTGAAATGTCTGACTAAACATTATGTCATGTTTTTTTACTAGAAGTGAATTTCATTAGGCCTCATTTAAAATCACTCCTTCTGTACGCGAATATATGCTTCAAGAGTTTAAATTATTTCTGAAATCAACCACAAAACGGCTTTGCACAGCTACAGATTATTGATTTGGTTTTTCTAATATGTAAGCTTAGTATTATCTCGAACGTTATGAGCTGAAAATGTCCTCGCTATGTTTTCATTTTCATGGCTTAATGGCACATCAGTGAATATCTCATATTTGTACCGTTTAGTTTTTTTTACTTAGTTTTATTGGAGAGAAATACTGTACATGATCTTAATATTTAAAATATCCTCATCAAATTAGCCATCCTTCAAAAGTTAAAGTTAGGTTTCAGCTGCTAAAATTGTTATTATTTAATTCAGCTAAGGCAGCATTAAGAACTGAAATATTTATCATCGGAAGTCAGATATGTGCCCAGATATGCAACGATATTTGAAAGCTATTGAAAGTTTCCGTTAAGTTTTTCATATACTAGACTACATAACATTATACTGACGACAGTTGGTTTTGACGAGGAATAAAATAAATATTAACATTACCATTTCATTAGTCAAATATTAGAGAAAGATCACTTAATTGTCTACCACTTCCAAAATGAAGCTTCAGATACGCTACGACCGACCTGAATGATTTTATTTAAAAATGCCCTGTAGAGAATTGATTTCTTTCATTGAATATCAAAGATGAGGCTATAATTATGATATTCATATTTATTATTAGAGTTTAAACATAGGAAATTATTGAAATTCATGTACATAAATAACAGTATTGATAAATGTTAACAAAAATGAAACATGAAACCAGTCAGGTAATTAATTAATTTATTTATTATTATTATTATTATAAATTAATTAGTACTTTTAAAACAAAATTAAACTAAATCCTTCTTCATCTTTGATCATTAAGATTGCATTCGATTTGAATGAGTAATGTAAACAAATTAGTTGTATGCATAAATGATTAATTGTTCAGTTTTAACATCACATCTTTTCCTCATTCACTAGTTCAGGATCGTTTGGTATAGTATGCCATTCGTTTCCATCATCTACTTGGTTTTCAGAGTTGACTGATGCATTAACCTTGATAATTGGAGGAGTTTTAGACGTAGAACTACTTGCTGGTGCATTTTCATTTAAATTATGTGTATTAATGTTATATTGCGAAGTTCCATATTCCTGAGTAGTTTCATTTTCTAAATTTGGCGTCCAAATTTTGGTTTCATCATGATGCGAAAAGGACATTTTAATTCGATTAATACCATTACTTAAGTTATCAGGCTTACAACACTTTATACATAATATTAGAACAAATAAAATTCCAGTAAGCACACCAACACCTAGGAGAATTCCTTTAACCGGAATGGATTTGTTACTAGCAACTTTTGATGTAACATATGAAGTAGAAGTGGTGGGAATAGTAGTAGTATCAGTTGTAGTATTGAAAGTTAAATTCTGACATATTCCACATAATTTTGAAAAGAAAAGCAATAAATAAAAGTATTTGAACATGTTGTATGTTGAATTACAAGACTTTTTTTTAAAGAACACTTGTACAAAACGAATGATTAAACTATAGATATGAATATGAGATTCTAAGAAATAAATATAATTGTTTCTTTTATTAATCTAATTGGTTAATTATACATAACATGAAACCTTGTTTTACCATTATATCACTTAATAAAAATAATAATAATAATAATAATCATTGTTGCAAATTTTCCTATCAAGATAAAGATGACTTCATTATCCTTTCAGTTTATTATTTACAAATCTATCTCATCTATATCCATTCTTACTATGAGTGTAATATTAATAGTTTAATACTCTTGTTTATCGTCATTGTACTTCTCATTTATTATTTATAAGACGTAAACAGAAATAATATAAAAATAAAACAATTGCTTTGTTGATAACCTATTTATATTAGACAGTTTTCAAAATATCTGTACTATAGATTATTCAAAACAAATAACAGCCCTCATTGTTAAGTTAACCTTCAGTTTTTGTTTTTTTCACTTTGTTCAAATGAGATGTTTACCTTCCAAAACTATGTACTTCAATAACTTACACATTGAATCTTCTTGATTATAATATCGACATACTATTTTCAAAATAATATTATCTTACATTATCATGAAATGTAAGATAATGAATTCTGAACTTCGTTACATAATACAATTAAATGCTCTGTCTTACATTAACAAAACTCATGTAAATATGTACTACACTAAATATACAAGTTTACAATTGAAAGTTTCAATATTATTTGTTGTTATATTATGATATGTTTTCCAAATCAACATAAAGACTCATTGATATTTAAATAAGCCGATTAAAACAAATGTAGATGTGACAGTGTATATTTTACTATTAGGTTAGGTAATGAAATACATATCTGGTTTAGTGCAATTTATATCCAGAAGCGCTTACAGTTTGCGATACCATTCAGATTATTTACCATGAAAGTTTTCTAGGTAACCAGATTATTTGAATAATACAAAACGGTAAATGTTTTTAAAATTACCATTGCCTCAGAAAAACTAATAATCCTCCTCACACAAAATATCTGTTAACTCAGTGTTTCAGTGAGGTTTCAACTTTATTATGTACTAGATTTTAAGTGTCTATCTTCTTGTTTAATTTTTATTGATCAGCGTACCTACATTCAAGCCAGTCACGAAAATCTCTGCTTCAGTATCTGACATGACATGGATTTTCTCATAACCGTTGTATGATAGACATTCCTGAAGAAATTTCAGCAAAGTTTTGCTTACCCAACATCCTTGAATGTAAAATATATAGCATTTAGATTCAACAGGTTTGTCTGCAAAATTTCATGTGTTTAGAAAAATTCCTTTTGCATATTTGTAAGCATTAACGATCTTTTTAAGCGTCAATTCAACCTTGGTTCATTTAATCTCTACAACTCAAAGTTTCCTTTACTTTTGATCTAGATAAGCCTGTTATTACTCTTTTATTCTTAATTTCAATGCTACAGTCCTCTTTTCGCTATTTGACGTTTCTTTACTTCACTGAACGCTAGGATATTTTGATAATGTTTTTGGGTATGTGCACCTTAGTTATTAAATTTTCGAGTTGCCAGTAAAATAAATATCATACTTAGTCTGTGGTTCAATAGTCAGCTGATTTTCTCAACTAGTTTTTTGTTTGCTGAACAGTAGACCTAACATAAGATGGTTTTTGGAAACTGTTAGGTGTGCAGTTCAGAACTGTGGAATACGTTCAAGATAATGCCTATAATGCGTATATCAGTTGTTCTAATATTCGCTTTCATTCCAATTCCCCAAAAGTGTATACGAATGAATGTGAATATGAGTTAATTTGAAAATGAATTTATTTTTATTCCTATTTGCTTTGTGTACTTAATCTATACTATGAGAAAATAAAAGTAGCCGTTACTTCGTATTGTTTTCTGAAGTTCATACACTAATGGGCTTGTCAAAAAGATTAATTTACGAAGAATGGACAGTATTGCGAAATTATGCCACTACAGAATTGGTAAGGCCAACGTGATTCGAAAGCGAAACTTTCCAATAGGAAGTCAGTGTTAGTCACTAAAATAAGGAACACCAACCAAAAGCTTAATGTAATCTGCTAAACTACGTTGATGGAACAACCTTCCTAACACTATACATTAAACTAATGGGCGCTACACAGTTGACAAAGCGAAGCCAATGCAACAAGAACAAACGTATTCGAAAATCGTACTGTCGTAACCGTTCTTGGTTCATGTATCGACTACTTTCGTTTACTTATTTTAGGTATTTAATATTACCGTGATATTATGCCTAAACGTTTTGCAATTATTATTACTATCAATCGTACTGATATCTATGCACGTACAGCACTCACTCAGCGAACTAAAATACCAAGAACATTTTTGGATTCATATTTAATGACAAAAAAGCACCGTCAAACAATCTTTTAATGAAATTACGTGTTTCTAGTTTTCGTATCCAGACTACATATTTAGGACGTGGAGAAGTGATTGTGGTTCAAATTGTTATTCAATATCACTAGAATATAGATTGGATTTTTTACAGTTTCGGAATTCATCATCTCTGTCAATGTTATTTAACAAAAGGTTGCTACTAATAGGGAACCCTGACCGTAGACATTGCTTATAGATTCTAAGCCAAATAATGTGTTCAAGTTTATGAATTTGGTTGAGTTCGAGGTCCTTAGTGTCCATTGCCCTTAAATTTGAAAACATCTTTGCTATCAAAAACTGATCAGTAGCATCAGTGTTTCGTATACGATGAGCTACTATCGTGAACACCGTCCATATATACTGGTTTTTGATATAATTGTTTTGTCTGTAGCTTTCAAAACGGATTTTTTATAATTTAGATCTTGAGCTAATGGTTCTTTTCTTAGATATAATTTGTAGTTTTTCATCGTGTCTTTCAAAACCCAAGTATTGAAGCTTTGGTATGGATTTTATAGCAATCAATAAATAGGACAATTTTTTGGTTATCTGTTATATACAAATAAACTTTGCCTTTCCGAATGTTGAAAACTGTCTAGCTTTGTACTACGGCAAAAGGTAGATATATTGCTCTATAATCCTCAATATTTTTGGTCCTATTATCTCATCGTTTGGTAATGAGAGCAAAAGAAACAGGCGTTTGATTAAAATACCTCTTTTGTTAAAAATTCTTAAACGAGAGGATTCACAGTAGGCGTTAATTATTTCAACATTATACGATCGGTTGTATGTGTGTTGAACTTAATGGTTTTCTGATGTTCGCATATTTGATTCCCACAAACCCCTAAATTTGTTGTGAATTTAAATTCGTTTTCTATTTTAATTGGATATATATAGATGAAAGCTGACGTTACATCAGTGTTCTTTGAGATAAAATTGTTGACATGTAGTATTATTTATAGATAGAAGGGAATAAACTTCTTTCAGTCAAAAGTTTTTGTATTTTGCAGATTCCTCAACATATACTCAACTTGGTACCTTTACTAGAAATAGACTTCAACTTCCATACAAACTTGTCAAAATAGGACAGATGAGAATTATTAAACAGATGAGGTAAAGACCCTCGTTTCTTACTATTCGGGACTCGTGTGCCGAATGTACTAGCACTCTAGAATTGAAGTTTTTTTCGGAGAGTTGAATCCAGTAACTTTTGCCTTAAACACCACCCGGTTATCCGATTGACCTACTGAGTGGTTGTCTATACTCAATAAGATGAACTAGTCACAAAAAGTTAACTTACTTACTTACGCCTGTCTCCCCGATGGAGCATAGGCCGCTGACCAGTATTCTCCATCCTATTCTGTCTTGGGCTTCCCTTTCCAGCTCTGTCCTAGTTTTGTTCATTCTTTGCATATCTTTCCCTATTTTTCGGCGTTATCGGTTTCTTGGCCTTCCTGTTTTCCTTTTACGTTGAGGGTTCCAAGAAAGAGCTTGTCTTGAGACGCAGTTCCGTGCTTTCCTCAATGTTTTTCCTATCCACTTCCACCGCTTCTTCCTGATATCCTCCTCCACTAGAATCTGGTTTGTTCTTTGCCACAGTAGATCGTAGCTGACGGAGATGGCACGACAAACTTATTTTGTAAATAGTTTTTGATACTATTTGTATTTATCCTGTTAATTTTCACAGCTTGTACATTCACTATGAAATTGTTGTACATTTTGTTGAAGTGTGTGTCCTTGAATATATCAGGCACACATACTGCTCCCAGTTTCCGTTCATTGTACACATACCACGGCACTCACCTACGTATCCTATCAAATACACTTTATACACACATCTCATGTTCTCAATCGTTCTTTAACATGCTATCTGGATGCTAATACGTATATTGTCTACGTGTATAAACTGCAGTCATACGTATATGCTTCTCTACGGATAATTACACCATTTGGATCACTAACATTTCTATAATTGTGGATTTACAATACCAAACACAACTGAACACGCACAAGCAGCTGTATAAAGTAACGTCCTTACATTTTTATTGTATTTATTACATTTAACTAATATATTTCAATATACATCTGTTTGTATTCAATAACTTTGTTGATATTTTGAAATAATATATTGTTTGGTCCACCATAATTTGCGTAGACAACTGTTAATGAATACTTGTATCTTCCGGATGATGGCTTTGGTAGTTCTCCAAGTTTCCGCTCCATATGCCAAAACTGTCTTAATATCTGCATTGAAAATTCTGACTTATGTGTTAGTTGATAATTGTTTTGAGTTCTAGATGTTGTTCGATTGTGAAAATGCAGTCCATGCTCTGACAATCCGCGCCTTTACATCTGCGTCGGATCGACCTTGATAGCCGATAATGCTGCCCATATATGTAAAGGTTTAACGTCCTTCAAGGCGTGTCTATCAAGATTGATTTGGTTGGTGCATGTTGCTTTTTATCGGAGAATCTTGCTTGTTTGTTTCTGTGTATTCAGCCCGTGCCTGAACTTCCCTGCTCTTGTTCGGCTAACGTTGATTGCTGCTTTTTGTCCCTCCTTTCTTAAATTTTATCAAGAAGACCATCAGAGATCCGTTTATTGTGGTGGTACTTCCTTTGGCCCAGATCCCCATGACTTGTTGAAGTGATTGCCTACTCCATCTCTTTCCAGTTTTTATAATAATAATAATTACTTACTTACGCCTGTTACCCCCAATGGAGCGTAGTTCGCCCACCAGTTTTCTCCAACCAACTCTGTCCTGGGCTTCCCTCTCCAGTTCTGTCCAATGTTTGTTCATTCCTCTCATATCTTTCTCTATTTCTCGGCGTAGTGTGTTCCTTGGCCTTCCTCTTTTCCTTTTAACTTCAGGGTTCCATGTGAGGGCTTGTCTAGTGACGCAGTTGGGTGCTTTTCGTAGTGTGTGTCCTATCCACTTCCACCGCTTCTTCCTGATTTCCTCCTCCACTGGAATCTGACTTGTTCTCTCCCACAGTTCGTTGTTGCTGATGGTGTCTGGCCAACGAATACGAAGTATTTTGCGTAGACAACTGTTAATAAACACTTGAATCTTCTGAATGATGGCTTTGGTAGTTCTCCATGTTTCCGCTCCATACAGTAGAACTGTCTTGACATTTGTATTGAAAATCCTGATTTTGGTTTTGTTTGAAAGTTGTTTGGAGTTCCAGATATTTTTCAACTGTAGAAATGCAGCCCTCGCTTTGCCAATCCGCGTCCTCACATCTGCGTCCGATCCACCTTTCTCGTCGATGATGCTGCCAAGATATGTGAAGGTGTTAACGTCCTCCAAGGTATCTCCATCAAGCGTGATTCGGTTGGTGCATGTTGTGCTGCATCAAATAACAAACATGTTACAAGAGACATGCCTCTCTGTTTAGTAGATCCTGTTAGGCCTGGATCCTATTGCTGTGGGCATTCTTAATTTCGCTGGGCTTTTCAGTATTCCAAAGAAAGGTCGTATTGAACTTCTGTGATGCCGTCTGCCCCCTTCTTCCAGTGGTGATTTGAGGCTATGTCAGCTCCTCTGTTGGTTCACGAGTAGTCCTCGGTCCTTCTGAACATGTTGTTGATGCAGATTTAATCGATTTGCTTGTGAGTAGTGGAGAATCTAATTTGAATGTTTGTTTATGGAAAATCCCTCCATGTATATATATTTGTGTTATGATATGACTGACTCTTTCTGTTCGATATTTTGGTACTTTATTTGATCCCATTGAGATTTTATCATTTGTATACAGTTATTATTTCTATATCTTGTACTTATATTGAAGTTTCCATGTTTCCTTCTGAACTATATATGTGCTGTTTGAATTTGATATTTAATATGTCTACAGCCATATTTGGATTTGATACTCTAGCAGTAACGGACTGGAAGCACTTATTCTTTCAGTAACGGAACCTATTGTGGTAATTGGAAACTCGAAAGTGTAATATTGTTTTGGTAATTGTCTGAATTCCATTTTTCCATTAAATACAGAACCTCTCTCCCAGAATTATCGTTTTTGGACTTGGACTGGGTGGGACGCGTATGAACCTACACCTTGCGGGTTAAAAGCGAACTGCAAGAGTAATTATTAATTTAACAAGTAGTGTGATTCTTTGAAATCCATGTAGTTATATGTATGTGTTCATGTAGGAATACTGTGCCGCCGATGACCAGTCTGTTGAAGGCAAATAGGTTTGTAAATCTCTCACCATTTATCTGTAATGCATCATCATGTAACACGTGGTCGTTCAGTAGAGTAAAGGAGAAAAGGCAGCTCTGCATAAATTGCACCTTCTTATTTTCTAATGGTGATTGAAAGTTGAGAGTTTTTCAAACGGTAGTTTTATTTAGCTTCAGTAAATATTTTGCTGAAAATTTGTGA